CGACTTTCATTTATGTTACATATCACGTCATTTTACTCATTTGCCTTTGTTTTATATGATAATGACCACTGATATAAGTGAGTAATGGTAAAAAAGTTAAAAAACACGTAAACGTCTTATTAAAAATGTACACCTTAATAAGGTTTATGTACTTCTAGTTTCCTAGAAGAAGAAAACAACTGCCTTCAGGATGCCGTAGTTACGGGTGAATTTTTAGGTGTAAAATTAACACAAACGAGGTATAAAATTCTTCACCAAATGTCGTTTTTGGTTTAATTTCCTAAGCAGTTACGATGCTATTTTTTTTGCTATACAGATTTTCGACACTTCATTGAATACAAAAATGCACGTATACCTTCTCTACGTCTCTTATGTATTCTCCAAAACTAATAAAAAAAAAAAACAAATCTATGATCTGTTCTCAAAAACTACTGAACAATTTTACCTTAAAATATTACAAAAGAAATTTCAAATGCGTATTGTGACACTTCTTTTCCGACGGTTCCACAAACTATGGCTGTTTTTAACTTTACTGCTGGATGTTAAAACGAAAATTAAATTCAACCATTCCATTTTTTAAGTATATTATCATTAACATAACGGGCGTTATCAAAATTTTGGCAAAATGATAATAATTTATTTAGGTTGTAACGAAATTTTCCAAAACGTACTTTTTATTAACTGTTCCTAAAAAGTTATCAAATTTATACTCAAAAGTATACCGGAAGATGAGATATAATTACTTTCGCCATCAGTTAATAGTATTTGATGAAATCATTCCTAAAAAATGAAGTAAACCTTCACTGAAAAATATGACAAGGTAGGTTATTACATGGGCAAATTTACTTTACAGATTATTATTTCAGAGACGAGTGAGTTCCCTGAAAAATCTAGAAATATTACATATTAACCTTATCATGATAATAGTTGGATTATACCGTTACATAAAATGATAACTTAATGTAGTGCTTCATTGAAATAAATCACTTTTAGAATATTCTCAATAGTCCTTCGGTACACTGACACTAATTGAAACGTGTAATTATTCCCGCAACAGCAAATACAGCAAGTGTATTAGATTTTTTGGTGTTGTGAGAGGTTAATGATATGTTTGCTTTAAATTGTCGTTAAACAAACTAATTTAAATACGCACACGCTATAAAATTATATGAATTTCGACCCGTTACAAAATTGCACGCCACTGAATAAAACTATACAAATCAAAATTACTACTTTTATCCTCCCCAGAAAATGGATTACTTCATCTAAAAAATATTTATTGAAACAATGTGGTATGAGGTACATGATGTATTGGTTATACATCAAAGGTAACGGTGGTGCTATACGTATGCCTATATAACTCTTCACGTTTTTACCCTCTTTTAAAACGCTTAAGTGAATAATCTGAATCTAGAAAGCCACTGCAAAAAATAATTGGACTATATCCTGACGGAATATTTTTCTCCCACGCAATAAATTGGCTTCTCTGCTTTGTAATCCGTTAAAACATCGATAAAGAATGTCAATATTTCACGAAACAAAACGATCCAGATCGTGATAACGGAGTTTCGGGGAAGAGAATTTAGCGAACAGTGTTGCTTTGTGATGCGAATTTACGATCCGACTCAATTCATGTCTTGGATATCCGCTGTATCTCGTTTCGATCTTTTTGTGTGTCTAAACGTTATCAAGCAAAATGTAATTGCCAGGCGTTTCCCGTACATTTTGATTCATTACATGACAAGATAACAATGAAGTCGCCAGTTATTTCTTTCTGTCTGTACTGTGCTGCCGCATGTGAATCATTTACATGAATCACTGACAAAACCCCGAGACTTATTTATTTACTTCTCCGTGTGACCCCTCTCAACCTTTAAACTCGGATAAATACGGCTTTTTTTCTCCTTTTTAATTTGTACGAGCTTTTCCCTCGTCGTGCCAGAGAAATCATTAATCCCGGCGCCTTCACCAAAAAACCATTTCATTCGCGCTGAACATCGGATCTTTCAAAAGTGTATAAATTTTTAATATAATCGTCCCCTCGTGAAATATTACAGTGCCTATTCGCGTTTCCATCGAATCATTTATAAGAAGCTACCACGAAGCAGTCAAATCGAAAATATATCCGCCATAACTCCGCCGAGTTTTGTTTGGTAATTCGATTCCCGAGTTTTCAATATCACTTTAAATGACAAATTTGTTGTCACTCCGACGCTCCTAGAAGGTCGTAATGGCACATAGCGAGCAAGCTCAGACGTTCGAATGGCGATGACAACGTTTTACTCTGATACGAATTTAACCCTTATCAACTGAGTGCCTTAAAGATGTCGCGCTTTCCGGAGGACGAACTATTGATCTCAGGCCGACGGCCGCGGCTCCTTCGCATACAAGGTGTTCGATAAATCACAACAGCTTTATTGCCAGATTCATTATTCTATATCTTCAAGAATGAAACCGCAAATATACACATTTTAATTGACATTTCAATGCAATGCAAACGGAACTAAAACTTGTGATTTAATGGTCGGAAACTTCAGATTTAGAGGCAACTACTTCAAGCGCAGTATTAAAACAGTTCATAATCTTGGAAATACATAACTTACTCAAAAATACATTGAGTGTTACAAATTTGATATTGTTTCTATTCTATTATTTCTTCTATTTTTGATGTTCCATGCATTTGTTGTAAGTAATGACGAATAATAATTCTTCATCAATAAAAGAAACAACTTTTATAGCTTATCTGTAATACAAACTACAATCGTATTTTTTTAATACCTCACGGACACACTCGTGTGTATACTGTTCATTAAACTTAAATGAAACAAAATTTGCGATGGCGAGTAATTTTATGCTTTTGCCAATTCTCGTATTTATCTGCAAACCGTCTGCAGCAAACACCCTAAACAATAAACATTATTCTACTTTTTTCCGACTCGGCGGATTATGATGAAAGACAAGTCGGTCCGATGAAACAAAAACAAGATTTCATATAAAATCAGATGGGACTGCGACATTTCTTTTATCTTGTTTGTTTCATAGCACGGTGTGTTGCGCATCGAAAGAAGATCAAAGTAATAATAATTCGAGATGTTCGCTTCCAATATACAACGAACCGAAACGTTTTTGATGATGACGTTTTTTGTTAGGAAAGGACTCGATCGTCCTGTGGGATGAGTGGGCGGGAAAGATTTCGGTTGCTCCCTTACATCGTTTTTCGTTGTAATAAATTCAATTCAGCCCGGCTAAAATTTATATTATGAATCTTGCCGCAACAGAGCTGTTAAATATTTTATAAAAGGCTTTATGTAATTGCGAATTTCTGGCGGTTCCTTCCTTGAAGATTATACGTTCGCTCAAGTTATTCACGGTGAGAACTTTTGTATAAATCGGCGTCTTAAACTTCTCTGGTGGAAATTTTTAATGCACATCGTTTCAAGAAAATTTACGTCGATTTAGGGAAACAAGATATTTTGCATACGGTGTATTCGCGGCACTTTACAACTGTTCCAGAATTTGTTTGATAAAATGCGTAACTTGACATCGAAAAAACATGTCAGATTGTAGTTTTTTGTGCCTACTTGTCAGTACAATATTCTCTATGCTCTGGTAAGATAACACAGCTGAATACAATTTACATAATCTGAACAATGGGAAGTATTGTTGTTCGATTACTCGTATATACAGACTTGATGATGACCACATCAAAGTGATAGATGGTGCACAGGATACCTCGTAATCTACGTTGATTTGAGTCCAGTTGAGTGTTAACAAGCTCAGACCACAAACTAACACGGTAACCCTCTATCCGTCACAAAGTTAACCTAGTTAATCGAAAAACGGTGATTTATTTTTGTTATTGATTTTTTTATTATTAGAATTAAAATTTATCACTCAGAAACCAATCAACTGTATCAAGCAGTACAAGATGGAATTAATGACGGTTGGTTATTGTTCAATAGGATCACACAACTTTACTATCAAAATCAATAATTTTCTTAAAATATTAATTTTTATAAAATACCATGAACTAAAATAAACATTACAGATATTTCATATTATTTTTACATGGAGTCAATACGATTTACCGAATGTTGAAACAAGTAAACTCTTTCAAATCGTTATATACAGGGTGTTTACTACACATTCGACAAAAAGTCATGAGATTATTCCTTAGATTATTTTAAGATTTTAAACTACAGTGTACTGTACTGGGCCTACAGACTACGAGAAATATTCAGAAATACGTTTCAATTGTGACTTGTCATCCTTTCCATAGTGACTTGGATGTTTACTTATGGGGCTACTGGAATATATTAGTGTACACTACTCCAATAGAAAATTTATAAAATTTGAGAAATCGGATAACTGCCAGGTGTAATGCAAGATGAAACAACCCTAGTACTCTTGAAAAAGTTCAGCAGTCAAGGAGGAAAAGATTGGATGCATGTATTCTAGCTGGATTATTATTATGTTCAGAACTATGGGTGGTTAATTTTTTTAAGTTTTCCTTAAAGTTTGAATAATCTTTACATGTCATATGAATTAATAAAGGTGTTTTTTTTTTTTTTTGGAAAAAGATCGCCTGTATTTTCGAAATGAAGCGTCTTTCCGAAAATCATCCAAGAACAAAAAAATCTAAAAATAACCCAAGGAATAACTCCTTGAATTTTTGCCGCAAGTTTAATAAACACCGTGTGTATCTTTAAAATTATGTTCAAAAATAAACGAATAAATTTTCTCATCCGTCAACCATGACGAAATATCTACAAAACTATTATAAAACCAAAACGTTTAAAATTTAACACTGCCATTTTTGAAAGTCACTGTTTTTTACTTTTCTAGTAATTCTTAAAAAATAAATTCGTCTACGTTATAGTGTTTAAGTAAATACGTACTATAATTTTTAGTTTTATCTGACGTATTATGGTATACCTACATATGATAGTAAGATCTTTTCCCCCTTTTTATATAAGTGTAAGACTAGCACGATCGCTTACCTTTTCGCAATTTCATACTGGGGTCCGGCGGCTTGCAATCCAACGAGGCCATCGCTAGAATTTTTCTTTTATGGTTGCACAATTTAGTCAGGTCCCCTGTATTTGTGTCTGGCGACAACGTCCACGGCTTACTGGCCACCTATAGACAAAACAAAAGAAATATACAGCGTGACTGGAATAAATCCAAATAAAATAAATGAGTCCCTCTACGTTTCCTGACTTAACCTCCTAACCCTTTTTTGACACGTACAAAAAAAATCCGCCGAGCTCATTAACGTTGAAAACGCATTGCAGCGATGACAGTTACGATTTACAGGCGATGCATTTGCACAAAGTTCATTGATTCGAAAGTTATCTGCATTATCCGACTGGCAAAAATTGTAAATCAATGTCACTGATGCAACATGTCAGTGTCAAAAAATTTTATCCGTTTATTAATGTTTTCCGAGCGACGGCACAGACTGGAAAACCGGTCCGAGAGTTAATTAATACAGAATTAATAATTTTTCGAGGGGATTCGGAATTCAAAAAAATGATTGAATTCTATGCGAGCGGACAGTTTCGCTCTCCATCAGGATGTTAATTTTGGTCGATTCCATTTTCCCGTGTTTATGATTTCTACATGGATGAATTTATGACCGGGAAACGGCCATAAAATTTATTTATAACGTGTCTTGAAAAATAACTCCCGCTAATTAACTCGTTTCTTTTTCCTTTTGACTAAACCAGCGGCGATGATGCGTTATCTAAACAAGGCACGAACCGATAATTGATAAATCAGTAAAGTGAAGCGATTCCGCCTAATGTGGAACTCAAAAATCGATTTGTTGGCATTTGATCAGTTCAGTGTTTGCGTAAATCATCGCCGTGTTTATTTTAAAACAAATTTGACACTGAAAAAAGAGCTGCTTGATTCCATTTACTTTTACGTAAGTCGATTTTATTTCTGGTTCGTCATTCTTACACTGCTGCCATTACTCCCGTACCCAAAACGTAAGGATCTCAACAGCAGTGTTTACGCAACATTTTTGATTTAGAACTAATGGGAAGTAAACCGAGATTCAGCATTAATGAAATCCTATTTATATTTCCAGATAAATCATGAGGTGAAGCGATCGCGGATGTACTATATATCTAATCAACTCAACTATACAAGAATAGTTCTGGTCTCTAAACTAACAAGATCACATAAGTTAACAACAGAAGATAGTGAATTATTAATGGCAACCTTGGTTGTCTGAACTTGGTTTAGTCGGGTGAAGGTTACTGTTGTTTCAATGCCATGCATGATCCACAACATAGGTACTCTGAGAATAATTCCACCAGTAAACAACTTTAACTGAATTACAAAGTGGAAGCGTGCTAAACTTAAATTTTGGACGTTAATAATCTCAGTAAAATTTATACCCCACGTTCTTCAAGGTGACTAAAACTTGCTTCTTAAATTACCTTGTGACAACATTACACACACTCACAATTCATCACAGCCATTGCGGTTAGTTAATTTTCACGCAATTTGACGCCTCGTAGAATTTTTACGGGGTACTTTACTTTCACATTTGTTGCTTTTTTACTACCGTTGAACTACGAACGGTACTTGATTTCTATCGTTTTATTTCCATATTAAGGCGGTATTTAAGTCACCCGAAATTTTCGGTACAGAGATTTTAAAATCTTCCACCATGATTGATCACCTACTGCGTTCTTGCCAAAATGTGACATCATTATTTTAAACAGCCTGGAATATTTATTTAATTATGTACAATATGTTATTTTAGCTTAAAAACTAGAAACTATTACCTGTGTTAAAAATTAGAATTATATAATGTACACACTATCATGGTGTTATAACTACTTTACGAATTTAAATCTGAAATAATAAACAAAAAAACTAAATGGACTTTTTATGAAAAAACTGGGTTATTTGTATAATCAATAAAATAAATTTTGGACATATGTACAAACATTTGTAAAAAATAAAATATATTATAAAATGTATTACAAGACCAAAAACAACACTGCATTGTGGGGCAAATTTTTATTATTTAATAAACTGAGTTAGTTGAGCTATCAAATTCCTTGCTACGAAGAATAAATAAATAATTTGCAATAGTTAAATCAATGTTAATGTATTACCAAAATTTCCAAAAAAAAAAAAAAAAACTTCTGAGGCAAACTCTAAAATCTGATTTTTCGATAACCCGTTGAACAAGGTTAAAAATATGGATACATTACTAAACCGCAGATAAAGAAGCATATCACAATATAAATTTCAAGCAAAATTTACGTAACACAATTCTGAGATGACATCATTAAATTTTTAATAGAAATGCACAGACAAATTTAATAATATGTATAATATTTTAGTTTATCTTATAAAATCGTCAACAGACAATACACATAAGTGAAAACGTGAGAGTGACATTACTCGAACTACCATGGATTTGGGAGCTTAAAGTAGTCAGCCTTACGGCCGCGTACTTTCAGTATGCTCTACCACAGCAAAAGATAACTTTCGTGCCGAGTTTTGTATAACTTTAAAACTTTTCAAACTATTATTTGAAATAGTATCAACAATTCTGCTGGAAAACATCTGATTTGTGTATCCATAGCACATAAACATAAATAAACAATGACGATTCAGTTTTAATTTTTTTTAATCTCTAATCATGAAAAAGTTGTGAAGATTTTTTCTAATTGGTGCGATGTACTATGTACTAATTCTGCAATCGAAAGCAGTTCGGTAAACTCTTTAAAATCCTAAAGGTAATGCCCAACTTTCACGATCAAAAACAAGTATGAAAGTGTGACTTTCTTGACGATTACAGGAACGAATATTAACTTCTTGTTTTAATTGAAAGAAAAATATTTCGCAGAATTATTTTTTCCTTAACAATGGCCACAAATGTGGTATCTATATAATACGCTAAGTCATGCTGGCTATTCTATCATTTTCAATTAATAAACTGCTCTATATTTTATATAGCTACATAAAAAATATCAATTTGTCGATGATCAGCAGGAAGGTCATCGTAATATAAATAAAATAGAATTTCAAGATAACTTATAAATGTGAAATGGTGTTCGACTCAGTAAACTAACTTTATTAAAATAAAGCATTATCTAAGCACTCAATGTAATGTAATGTAATTTTTATTCATATTTAAAATACAAAGTATTATACAATCCTCAACATAATTTAATTACAATTTTAACAAAAAAGTTACTTTAAATCAGTAGGTAATTATTATTATTATTATTATTGAGCAACTATTGCAATGATCACAATAACACCAAACGAAACTTTTCATAACATTTTCAAATTCCGAAAGGACATTACAAATAACAAATAAGGTATCACAAAAAAATGAGTGTTAAAAGAAACATCTTGGATTATATTAACATTTAGCAGTTCATTCCCAATAAGCGTTGGTTTTGTATTTGGTAGTTATTGTACAAAATTCAATTGAACTACTTATTACTGCAAGGCCTCCACTATCGTCATGTTTTGACTAAGTACGTAGTTATGCTGCATCAAAGAGAAATACTGTTTTTCTTTTTTCCTGAATTTCAAAAATAGTGTGCTAAACCTTGTCAGTAGGAGAGAACTCGTTTTTATCAGGCATCAAAAATCAGTAGCTAAAACCTAAGTCAGCATCACTATTTAATAAATACCACTATGGAATACCCTCAAAGGCACTGTAACATAGACATCGAGTGGTGTCACTGGTAAGACTCTATAAAGGAGTTCAAGAACAGCTACATCCCAAGAAAGAGAAATACTGCGTAGCTTGGTGGACATCAGAAAACATGCATAAACAATATAGTGTGACCTAATTTACTTAACCAATAAGCAATAAGCGCGATCTGAAGAGGTGACTATGTAAAAATTGTTGAAGATATTGTTTATTTCAAACAATTAATTCACGACCATCTACAACAATTTTTCTATAATATTTGGGTTAGTCTGACTTAAATTACAATACGCAAAATCCGGCTGCATATCAATATCTGTTGTGCATGAACTTGTCGGTAGCGACTTTTATAAAAAAATTGCCCAGATTCACAACTGAACTTCTATTTCAAATAAATATTAATTATTGATACGTATTTAGTACTATCTTAGCAGCACAGGGTGTTAGAACACCTAAGCAGAATCAAGATTCCAATATTTCTGCTCCTTCGTCATTCCACAAATTGAAATACGACACGTAAAATTAAATCCGACCAGAAATAGGAGCTGCATGAACCTCACTTGTTTCTTGCTTGGTTTCATTCATATTTTATCCCGTCGCGAAAATTAATTTCATTTGATATTTCACAACGGTTCCGTTCTACGAGATCCAGGGGAATGCAAGTAATTCAAGTTGAACGTGTGCATGAAAGAGGTCGCAACCTAAGAATAGAATATATTCAAAAGATTTACGAGACTATGCATTAAAAGCAATGGAAAACAAAGCTGAGCGAACAACTGAAACACAAAAGTGGGGCATCTATGAGCATAAAGTTCATTTTATTCCGCTTGTAATTTCCTGCCCACTGAGCGATATCATCACACAAAGTAATCTTTCATTTGTTTCCTTCGCGGAGTTTTCTCGAAAGAACAACTTGTTAAGACATCAGACGGATTTGCTCTCCTTAAAAAAAGCAAACAGTTGTTCAATTTTAATTTAAGTCTGGAGAAACTGATTCAAAACAATGTCATGGATTCTTTCGCGAAGATGTCAGTAACGGAACAAACGGTACAATTCTTTTAACTAACAAGGATTACGATAATAATGAAATCCTTGTGAAGTGTGACAGCTTATTATGGCGACCTTTGATGTACAATAATAAAGCGATAAATAGGAATCGCGGTTCTGCTATCGAAGCTTCTGTATGATCAATCGTCCCATCTTTCGCCGCTCATGATTTATTTATGTCGATAAGGATTCATATTTGCACACCCACTCCCGGTCCAATTCGTGGACATTATGCGGAAACTTCGGTGGAAAGAAAAATAAACACGAAGATTAATAAAACATGAAGTTATAATACGAAACATTTCTGTAATAAATCACTAACCGTCCTGCCAACTATAAACAAAATTAATTAAGGGACTGTTCGTGTATTATTTTGATTTATAACGAATATTCGAAT